GAATCCTAACCCATAACCCAAACCACTAACCTAATCTACCCTAACCCTACCACCCATCAACCTACCTACAAATCCTACACCTACACCCTAACACCTAACCTATCCTAACCTAAGCAACCTAATCCTACGCCATAACTATCCTAACTACCCTTACCCTAACCCTAACCCTAATCCTAGCCCTAAACCCTAATCCTACACATATTCTACATAGTCTGCCACGTTGTTGGTACCTGCTCCACGCCCGGCGGAGATAGCATTACCCGGATGCGTCCTATTTTTTCCGACCACAAATGGCGAGAAGGGTTCCTCTGATTGGCCTGCTTTGAATTTGCTCTGACGGAACACCCGTTTCGCGTGTGGAGGGAGGTCACGTGATTCCGTGAGACGCATTGACGTTCAAAAGTTAAAACCTTAAGGTAAACACTCACTCCAAACACTGCCACACTATCACTCACACAAATATTGTGATGTAGTGGTCGCCGCCGCTATAGTATAGGCAGTGTTATTCACAAAAAGATTAATTCGAGGGTGTTGGGAGACATGATATCACTGATGCAAAAATCTCTAACCCATAACCCGTAACCAACCCCATAACCCTACAGCCTTATCGACTAACCATTAAAATTAAACAATTAAAAATATAAAAAATGAGTAATTAAAATTAACCCTAACCCAACCCTGAACCCTTAACCCTGACTAACCTAATCCAACACTATCCTAAACAACTAGTGCTGCCAAGTTGCGGTCAACTCTCTCCACACGACGACAGTTGTTCTCGAGAAGCAATCAAAGCAGCCAATCAGCAAGAAAACCCTTCGCGCGATTTGATGGTACGGAAAAAACTAGACGCTACCCGATAAATTGAGCGCAAGAGAAGCGGAGCGCCATCTGTCGTAGAGATTCGAGTGATCTGTATTATGCCATCTATTTCAACAGAAGAGACGGCACTAAAGACTCATAGTGATTGAAAAATAGACCCCGATAATTCAGTGTTCCGGTAAGATACTGTGTGTAATCTCAAACATGTTCTGCTGCTCGCAATCTATACAATACGACATGCGCAAATATACGCTCTCCATACTAGACACCTAAGGTAAAGATTCTTCCTATGACAAATATTGGGCGATGTCAACTTTCGTTTCGCTTCTATGCTTGCGTTCCATAATAGCGTCTACTAAACTCCTATGAATGCGCACAACACACTCACAACAATATTTAAGTGAGGAGCGTATTGGGTATGCCTGTATTTGTCATTCAGATGCAAGAGGAACAGGGCTTGGTAATCCACATGGTGTGCTGTATCGAGATATCTGCTATGGTTGTCGCGATTCCATTGCCGTAACCAGGACCGTTAGGCTGAGCAATTCCTAATGGAGGGGAGGGGCAAAATTCTCCAGACTGAACTGTTGTAATGATGAGCGGACCGGGCCAGCTTCTGATCGCCAGTCTATAGTGAAAGGGTGGGTCTGATACCCAGCTATATAGATAGAGTACCCTAAAAATTAGGTTAGCGCTTATTTTAACGATTATCTAGCTAAGCTTACTTTTCTTAATTATTGGCTCCAAAATCTAGTGGGGAGCGCACCAGCCTGTAGGGTGCCAAAATGTTACATTCATTCCCTTCTGTCCTACCCCTGTAGACCTGATACCTTGAGGTTTCTCAACCACCGCGATTAGGTCCTGTGTGGCTGGCCAGTGGCTAGGTCGATTGTGTAGTGTAGTGACCCGAGAAGAAGAAGAAGAAGCAAGAGAAGAAGAAGAAGACAGATAGAAGAAGAAGTAAGAAAGAAGAAAGAAGAAGAGACAGAAGAAGGAAACCAGTATGAAGAAGAAGAAGCAGAGACACCACGGTATAACTTCATCTCTCTCTCTCTCCTCTCTCTCTCTCTCTCTTGTCGCCTCAGACATGCGGATGTGTCGTAATCGTGCTCGATATAAGATTTGCAACCGACGGCCGTATCCGATGTGTGTACCTGGTACGCGCATGGCGCATCGACCGGAAACCACATTACCTTACTCAGCCGCAACACAGGCCCTCAAGTCGCGTTATCAATCACACAGCCCGCTACACGGACTCGCCACGGGCCAGTCGCAGCTGGGAAGGCGCCCAGAACGTGGCCCCTTCGTTCGCTGACACCAGACGCCCGCCTACGGCCACCGTCAATACTACTTCGGATGACCACCACCTGGACAGTAAACGATTCCATTTTTGGATTTTGTTTTGGCATTTTTTGGATTTAATCAGATCGGTATTTAATCTTAATTGTTATGTAGTAGTAGTGTAGTTGTACTGCAACGTGTGGCGTCTCATCCCTCTTAGTCGTGTTTCAGCTGACGTATTGATGGCCCGGTCGTCATGCTGGGACACCTGTACACGATGGGGAAGATTTTTCCTCTAGTCACGTGCGGCGTAGTGCCTCACTGATGCTACCATACTGGGTCTCACCAGGGCAGCACACCTACATCACACGTTGATTTAATGATAGACTACATTACTTGTTTAAGCACATGTCTTTTTCAGCATGGTGATAGAAGCATGCGTTATAATTTCTTTTTAGATTACTAAAACACAAAATGACTGTCCATGTCTGTATATATGCAAATGCAGTAGCCCTCTAATCACATTACAATCGTTATCGTAATAATCTTCTTCATGCCGCTTAAAATGGTTAATTAGAGAAGTAGAGTATTAAGCCTAAACAAATGTATTTTGAAAAATTCTTGGTGGCATTTTTGAAAATGCAAGCGTACCATGCCGCCTTAAAAAAGGCCATATTCGATTTGGGGTCCACCTTCATTACATTTTATTTCAGCACTGTCAATGGCCACAAATATTGTACCAAATCTGTAGCTTAATATCATCACAAATAACTGCAAACGATCGACCCATGATTTTTGGTGTTTAGATCTTGTGCTTATCAAATGGTCTATTGTGCATTCTACATGGCTTATTTACTTAATAACATGCCTGCAGGTGCGTGCGCTTTGCCTTTCGTAATTTATGATCAGATTTATATGGTTAATCTTGTAATCGGGTTCAGACTGTTGACGAGTCTATCACACATGCACACTATTTACCTTGATTTATACAGAGTAGATAGCTAAAATATTTTAAAAAGACGTTGCTTATGGTAGGCTGGACGTAATTATTGCATGTTATCGAACTGCCCTAAATAATGAGCAAACTGGAAACGCTGCTATGAGTCAATGCCAGCACAGTGTGGAAGGTCCTGTTAAAAGCTATGGAGTATTACAGCATGGACTGCTGAGTCAGCTCATCTACTCCAAGTATATAATCTTACCAAAACCACAACTACTGTTAGTAACTAGAAAGCACTCGGAAGAGCGCAGCATCCTCCGCCAGGCCAGCTCTAATCTCTCACTGTGAAAAAAATTTTATTTATTAATTAATTAAAGTAATTACACTTGCGATCCGGAATGACCTACCAAATGGTGATCAATTTCTTAAGTTAGCCCCATTTCAAGACCTCATGCCTGAAATTTTTATTAATTATATGGAATGAATTAGATTGAAATTGAATCCGGACTACACCAAATGTAATGCAATTCTTAAGTTACCCCATTCTCCTGACTATCCTGAAATTTTATTAATTAATTGGACCGCGATACACACCAAAAATCTAATCAATATCTAAGTTAGCCCCATTCTCCTGACCGTTGCAAAATAATGCCCAATCTCAACTAGATATAGAGCTCACGAAATGGCGGCGGCACAAATTACTAGAACGGTTATGTACTATATCATATTTACAGTCATCTAAATTTTTGGCCGCCATTCGTCGTACTCTTATATTCTAGTTTGAGAGTGCGAATTAATTAGGAGAATCGGTATGTATACTCTTAGATGCGCCGATTGGTAAAACCCGGTTAACCGTATATTAACAATCTGAGGGGTAATCCTACTCATCTACGCGCATTCATCACCATTAGAGAGTTGTATTCTAATTCAAATTTAATTAATTTAAGCCGCCGCTGTTCCTTCACTTAAGACAAATCCGCGCAAGGGGAGCCGCCGGCAGCAGCTGAGGGCCGGCTGAACGATCAAGTGGCTGCTTGTTCATGCGAATCTGGTGGTTCATTTTCGTGATGCTCCTAACGCTTAGTGTTATAATCGAGTAGATTTTCGATATGAGTATCACTAAGACCATGTGGAAGGGACATGTCGTTGCCAGCGTCTCTGAGGGTAGATTGACAACACATATACTCAAAACTCCCAGGTGAGAACGAAGCACAGACTTACTGTATAATTAGGGTTAGGGTTAGGGTTTTTGCAGCATGATATCTGTCCCCACACCATAGATTAATTTTTGTGGATAACACTGCCTATATATAGCGCGGCGACACATGTATATTTAGTGTGAAGGTTAGTGTTGGCGGTGTTGGAATGAGGGTTAACGTTTTGAACGTCATCGTCAACGTTATCACGTGACCTCCCTCCACGCCCGGGGGATAGCAACACCCAATTTATCCGCAGTACGTTGTACGAAGGGGGCGCTGCATGCAGCTTGCGTCACTGAGATTGCATGTGCACGCCCTCACTCATGCACGCACGCACGCACGCTATCACGCACGCACGCACGCCCTCACACACGGACGCACGCCCTCACGCAGGGACGCACGCCCTCACGCACGCACGCCCTCACGCACGCACGTGTGGAGAAGATGTAATTTCTACTATACTATACCTAATGTACGAAATGTACGATCTATGTATTTTATGTTGGTATTAAATAGCGCGCATGCGTGGTTCTCTCCTAGAAAAGATTGCGGTCTTGTTGGTTTGTCCTGCTGCTGGCTCGTCAATTTAGCGCCTTTCCGTTGTTATTTAATGCTGTCTACTTACGTGATGAACGGGCGTAACATTCTGGAGGTTCTACCAAGATAATTGTGTCAGCATTAGGAAGAAATAGGTGTGTGAGAAGACAGAACAGCTCGACAAACCCGCTGGCCGTTATTCGTTGTAGTTAGCGAGGAGGCTGTCATCTTGATTTTTCGGAAGTTGTAGTCGCAGTTTGAACCGAAAAACTATGTTTAGAAAGTCAACAGGTGAGTGACACCGGAATTACGAGCGATCAACTAATCGAATGAACAATGTCTGAACTGTTAATTACATGTAAGTAATCGTAAATCGTCGTGCAAAATCACCGCACGCTAAACGATCGATACGTTAGTTCCACTTTCCACTGATGGAAATGAAAGTCAAGTTTGAAGACTGGGAATTACCAGCGGGACAAATGAGTAGTCTTTTCAAGCGGGAATTTCGTATTGTTGGACTAGTTGGAGAACCGGGTCAACAAGATAAACTCTCGTTTAGCAGTCTGGCTCATCAGATAGAGTGGTATAAAACGTGGCTACTCAGACCAGGAAATTGTTGAAGCCGTTGTGAAATCAGTCAGCCCTGGGTTGTATCTCTGAAGTTACCTTAAGGGTCGACCTGGACTTACATTACCTCAGTTACGTACCATCCTCAGATCCCATTACCAGGAAAAGGACGCTACGGAACTATACCAGCAACTTGTCAACACCGTCCAAGGTAGTAAGAAAACTCCTCAGAATTTCCTGGTACGAGTACTGGCTCTTAAACAGAAGGTGTTATTTGCATCTAAAGAGTCAGGCTCAGGATTTTCCTATGATCCAATACTAGTCCAGAAGATGCTATTACACACCATCCAGACTGGCATACAGTCCGAAAGTATCAAGAGTGAGCTGCGTCAATACCTAGCCGATCCCGAGGTGACCGATGAGATCCTGTTGGAAAAACTGAATGTGGCTGCGGCAAAAGAAGCTGAGAGACAAGCAAAATTGGAATCGACCGTGAAGCGGTCGGTCCGAGTTCACACCATCCAAGAGGCTGTTCCCGAGTCTAACTCAGAAGCTAGTAAAAAGAAGAAGAATGATAACAGTGCTGTTATGGAAGCAATAAGGGAGTTAAAAGCTGAAATCGCTAGTATTAAGGAATCTTCAAGTAACCAACCAGCTGGCTACAACCGAAGACCAATTCATAAATGTCCGTCCTGTCGTAGAGATGGTTCCCGGTTCTGTCGTGACTGTTTTCGCTGTGGTGCTGATGATCCTATCCAAGCTAACTGTAGGGCTGAAAAACCAACGCAGGAAAATGGAGAGAGGTTACCCCGTGGGGCAGGGAGTAACCTTACACGAGTCTCCACCAGACGATGACATTAAAGTCCCATGGTTAACCAGCGTGAAGAAAAGCGGTAAAGGTTCTCAACTTAAAGGGTGTTACGGTTAGCCGGTTCCCGTCGACCGGCATCGAAGCCACGCATCTAGGCTGTGCACCTGGCCAGCTGGCGGCACGCGCGCGAGGCGGGCAGTACCGTGCGAGAGGGCAAGCGGGAAGGACAGTAGAGCCGCGCAGCAGAGCCGCGCGTGAGCCGGGTCACTACACTACACTCGACCGTAGGCCACTGGGCCAGCCAGCACAGGACCTAACGCGGTGGTTGAGAGAACCTCAAGGTATCCAGGTCTACAGGGGGAGGACAGAAAGGGAAATGAATGTAACAGTTTTGTGGCACCCCTAGCAGGCTAGGTGCCTCCCCGCTAGATTTTGGAGTCAATCAATTAAGAAAATAAGCGTTAGCTAGATAATCGTTAAATAAGCGCCTAACCTGAATTTTTAGGGGTAGCTCTATCTATATAGCTGGGGTATCAGACCACCCTATTCAACTATACGACTGGCGGATCAAGAGCGTGCGCCCGTCCGCATCATCAGTTACAACAGCTTCAGCTGGAGAATTTGCCCCTCCCCTCCATTAGGAATTTGCTCAGCCTAACGGTCCTGGTTACGGCGAATGGAAATCGCGACAACATAGCAGATATCTCCGAGCTAGCAGCACACATGTGTGGATTACCAAGCCCTGTTCTGCTTGAGCATCTGAATGACAAATACCCAGGCATACGCATATACGCTCCTAGTGTCAAATATTGTTGTGAGTGTGTGTGCGGCATTCATAGGGAGTTTAGATAGCGCTATTATGGTAACGCAAGCAGTTTAAAGCGAAGAACGAAGTTGACATCGCCCAATATTTGTCATATGGAATGAATCTTTCCTTAGGTGTCTATATGGAGAGCGTATATTTGCGTCATGTCGTTAGTTTGTTATAGATTGCAGAGTCAGAAACATGTTTGAGATTTACACACAGTATTCTTACCGGAACACTGTAATTATCGGGTCTATTTTTCAATCACTATGATGTCTTTAGTGCCGTCTTCTTTCCTGTGTGAAATATGATGCATACTACAGTAGTCAGCTCGAATACTCTACGACTAGATGGCGCTCCGCTCTCTTGGGCTCAATTTATTCCGGGTAGCGTCTAGTTTTTTCCGTACCAATCAAATCGCGGCGCAAGGTTCCTCTTGTATTGGCTGCTTTGATTTCTTCTCGAGAACAACTGTCGTCGTGTGGAGAGAGTTGACCGCAACTTGGGCAGCACTAGTTGTTAGGATAGGTGTCGGATTAGGTTTAGTCAAGGGTTAGGTTCCGGGTTCGGGTTAGGGTTAATTTTTAATTACTTTACTTTTTTTATATTTTTAATTGTTTAATTTTAATGGTTTAGTCGATAAGGTGTAGGGTTATGGGTAGGTTATGGGTTATGGGTTAGGATTTTGCATCATGATATCATGTCTCGCCAAACATCCCTCGATTTAATCTTTTTGTGATATAACACTGCTATACCTATAGCGGCGGCGACACATACATATTTTAGTGTGAGTGATAGTGTGGCGTGTTTGGAGTGAGTTGTTACCGTTAGGTTTAACTTTTTGAACGTCAATGCGTCACGGAATCACGTGACCGTCCCTCCACACGCGGAAACCGGGTGTTCCGTCGAGCAAATTCCAAAGCAGGTCCAATCAGAGAACCCTTCTTCGCGCAGTTTGTGGTACGGAAAAAATAGAGCGCATCCGGGTAATGCTATCGCGCCCGGGGTGGAGGGCGGTGACCAACAACGTGGCAGACTAGTTGTTAGAATATGTGTTTAGGATTAGGGTTTAGGGCAGGATTAGGGTTAGGGTTAGGGTTAAGGGTAGGGTTAGGATTAGGTTATGGGTTAGGATTAGGTTAGGCTTAGGTTAGGGGTTAGGGTTAGGGTTAGGTTAGGATTTAGGGTTAGGGTTAGGGTTAGGATTAGGTTAGTGGTTTGGGTTATGGGTTAGGATTCTGGGGTAACTTAGAATTGATTACATTTTGGTGGTGATCCGGATCCAATTAACTAATTCATTCATTAATTAATAAAATTTTCAGCATAGGTCTGAAATGGGGTAACTTAGAATTGATCACATTTTGGTGGTCATCCGGATCCAATTAATTATTTAATTAATTAATAAATAAAATTTTTCACAGTGAGAGAATTGAGCTGCCTTGGCGGAGGTCTGCGCTCTCCGAGTGCTCTAGTTACTAACAGTGTTGTGGTTTTTGGTAGCTATAACCTTGGAGTAATGAGCTGACTCAGCAGTCAGCTTAATACTCCAAGCTTTAACAGGCCTTCACTGTGCTGGCATTGCTATAGCAGCGTTTCAGTTTGCTCATTATTTAGGGCAGTTCGATACATGCATAATTTACGCCATACCATAGCACTTTTAAAATATTTTACTATCTACGCTGGTATAAATCAAGTAAATAGTTGCATGTGGATAGACTCGTCAACAGTCTGAACCGATTAACCGATTAACCAATAAATCTGATCTAAATTAGAAAGGCAAAGCGCAACGCACTCGCATGTCTATTAAGTAAATAACCATGTAAAGCACAATAGACCATTTATAGCACAAGATCTAAACACCAAAAATCAGGTCGATCGTTCAGATTGTGATAAAAGCAACAGATTTGGTACATATGTGCCATGACAGGTGCTAAATAAAATAAGAGGTGGACCCCAACGAATATGGCCTTTTAAGGGGGCATGGTACCCTATTTTCAAAATGGCCACCAAGAAATTTCAAAATACATTTGTTTAGGCTTATATCTACTTCTAATTAACATTTTTAAGCGCATGAAGAAATTATTACGATAACATTTAATGTGATTAGAGGGCTACCTCATTTGCATATATACAACATGACAGTCATTTTGTGTTTTAGTAATCTAAAAAGAAATTATACCATGCTTCTATCACCATCTGAACAAGACATGTGCTAAAAAGTAATGTAGTCTATCATTAAATTAACGTGGTGATCGTAGGTGTGCTGCCCTGGTGAGACCAGTAATGGTAGGCATAGTGCACACGCGCACTGACTAGAGGAAATCTCCCCATCTGTAGACAGGTGTCCCAGCATGCGACACGCCATCATACGTCACTGAAACACACAACATGGACGCCCACGTTGCAACTACTACACTACTACAACAACAAAACGATTAAAATCCGATTCGGATTAAATCCAAAAAATGCAAAAAAAAATCCGAAAATGTGAATTGCTTACCTGTCCAGTTGGTGTCACCGAAGTAGGTATTGACGGTGCCGTAGGCGGCGTCGGTGTCAGCGACGAAGGGCACGTTCTGGGTCGCCTTCCAGCTCGACTGGCCCGTGGCGGTCGTGTAGCGGGCTGTGTTGATTGATAACCACTTGAGGCCGTGGTTGCGGCTGATAAGGTATGTGGTTCCGTCATGCGCCATGCCGTACAGGTACACCGATACGCCGTCGGTTGCAATCTTATATCCGAGCACGTACGACACGATCCGCATGTCTGAGGCAGAGAGAGAGAGAGAGAGAGAGAGAGAGAGAGACGTGAGATTATACGTGGTGTCTTCCTCTTCTTCTTCTTCATCTTCTTCTTCTTCTTCTTCTTCTTCTTCTTCTTCTTCTTCGCTGATATTTGATTTGTTGTGTTGTTCAATTGATGCTGATTATTGATTGTGTGGTGAGTTGTATATGACAATACAATCTAGCGCCCTTGACATCACCCCCCAATTCG